CTCCGAGAGAACTTGTGACTGACCCAAGGTCACACCAGCAACCGCACGTGGAGGAGCGGGGAATCAAACCCGGTTCGCCCAGATTAGAGTCCGTGCGCTCCTAGCCGCTACACTAAACTGGTTCTCTTTCGGCACAATACAAACCGTTTCCATGTTTGCTTGTGATCTCCTAAACAGAGTTTTCACTTTGGCGGTGAACCAAGTCAGGGTCTAATGGCCAGCTCAAACGCTGGCTCTTTCCGAGAACCTCTTTGCTGGGGGGAAGAGGGTGAGCCTGCCAAGCAAGCCAGCCAGATCCCTGTGGATTCTGCCCAAGAGTCGGACCTCTCTGTTTCCAGGCCCTGAACCTGCTGCCTGAAGGTAGTTCCACAAACTCATGCTGTGTCCTTAGAATCATAGAGGTGGATGGGGCCTCCAGGGTCATCTAGTCCAACCCCCAGCACAAGGCAGGAAATTCACAAATACCTCCCCCACCCAGTGTTCCCTCTCAGCTGAGTTAGTGTGAGCTAGCTCACAGTTTCTAGCCTCTAGCTCACAGTTTTTTGGCCTCCGGCTCACCCATTTTTGTCTTCGCTCAGGACCTCCAAGTTAGGCCCCCAGATGGCCTTCTAGGGGAGACTGAAGCAACCTCATGCCCCAAAGAGGGTCGCCTTTCATGGGGGCAGACCCACATGATGTCCAATTACCTACATGAGCGCAGGACCACCCATAGCCTGCTCCCCCCCCCCAATTCCTCAACATCCTCCGGTGTTCTGCTTTCGGTGCTAATTTCCCACAGGGGATTAAGCAAACTTTAAAATTAAAAAAGGTAGGCAATCGCTGTGTCACCCGACTTTGCAGAAGTGCTCAATGAAGCTGCCCGGGGCACTCTTTGACGTCTGGACTCAGTGCGGGAACCCAAGGGGGCATTTGCGGATCAACCGGGAAGGGAGGGACTCCCTGCTTTGCAAGAGCTCGCTCGCAATGTTCCCTCTAAGTGGTAGAGTCTTGTGAGCAGAATTTCTACTTTGTGAGCTACGCATTAAAGTTGTGAGCGAACCAGTTGGCTGCTGAATAAATTAGTTGGTTCTGGAGCCCGCCTTCCTGAGCTAAGACAAAAATGTGTGAGCAGGAGGCTAAAAAACTGTGAGCTAGCTCACACTAACTCAGCTTAGAGGGAACTCTAGCTACTGCATCAATCAGTTTGCTCTGGAGCCCTCCTTCCTGAGCGAAGGCAAAAATGTGTGAGCCGGAGGCTAAAAACCTGTGAGCTAGCTCACACTAACTCAGCTTAGAGGGAACACTGCTCTGGAACCCTCCTTCCTGAGCAAAGACAAAAATATGTGAGCCGGAGGCTAAAAACCTGTGAGCTAGCTCACACTAACTCAGCTTAGAGGGAATACTGCTCTGGAGCCCTCCTTCCTGGGCGAAGGCAAAAATGTGTGAGCCGGAGGCTAAAAAACTGTGAGCTAGCTCACACTCACTCAGCTTAGGGGGAACACTGCTTGCTGGTGCCCCCACAAAACTAGACCCATCTCGTGGTACCAGGGGCCAGAATAAGAAAGAACGGCATTTCTAGTTGTTAGCAATGGAAGCAAGCCAGGGGGGCTGTAGGAGGCTCCGCCCCTTCCTTAAAGGGCCAGCCCCACAAGATTTTTTTGAGAAGATTTCTTGAGAAGAGGGGGGGGGAGGTCGCATGCATAGACCCCACTTATTCTCAAAAGCATTTAATGGGACCCTTTAAACGCTTTTGAGAAGAAGCGGGGGGGTGGTACGCGCCCCTCCACCACCTGCAAGATTTAAAGGGTACTCCAGCTGATCGGCGAACCACGTGCTCCCCCGCCGATCAGCTGAAGGGCCCTTTACATCTTGCAGGAGGTGGCGGGAGAGGGGTGGCCGCTGGTGGTCGGGCTTGGGTGCGGAGCGGAGCTGACATTAAAATAACGGCAGCCCCACTCGCAAACGTTTTGCCCCACGAGCCACAAAATCCTGGCTACGGGGCCTCAGGGGGGAGCTAAAAAAGAGACAGGGGAATCACCAGCTCCTTGACCCTCCGATAGTGAACCGCGGGCAGAACTACACCTCTTCCAGCATTCGGCCTGCCTTGGGCCCAAACCGGCCGGGCGAGCCACGTCTGGGAGCAGGCACACGGCCTCGTGAGTGTCTCAGATGAAGGATGTAAGTCAATGTAAGCAGGCCTGGAACTCCATTAGATGCCAAACCTCTACATGTCCAATAAAGAAGCTTGCAAGCTTGTAAGGATGCCGGGCCTAGGGTTACCAACCTCCAGGCGGTGGCTGGAGAGCTCCCAGGATTACAACTGACCTCCAGGCGACGGATCAGTTCCCCTGGAGGAAAATAGCTGCTTCGGAAGGTGGGCCCTGGGGCACTATACCCCACTGAAGCTCCTCCCCTCGCTAAACCCCGCCCCCTCAGGCTCCACCCCCCAAATGTCCAGGTATTTCCCAACCTGGAGCTGGGAACCCGAGCTGAAATCCCCTCCGCTACAATTCCCACCGGACAGAGTTCTGCGTTGCAGAGAAGAAGTTGTCGTCGTCGCCAGTGGACAAGACACATCCCGGAGATACTTTGGTGGGCTCGGCTCTGGTCACAGCCAGGGGTCATTTCCTGCGGGAGCGCAAAGGAGCGGAGCTCCGGCAGTAAGGAGCCCAGGGGGTGGGCACATGCAACAAGCCCCGCCCCCTGCTCCCAGCAGCCCTCAGTTGGGCCACGAGGAGCAAGAAGCGACCAAGTAAGTTGCAGAGCCCCCCCACCCCAGCCCGCCTTCAGGTACAAGCTCTCCCTCCTCTGCGAGGACAGATCTGCACGTTCCCCCCCCCCCCAATAGCTAGCAATCCAAAACAGTCCAGTGGAGCCTGAGCGGTGGGTGTTGCCTTCTGACACACTTCCGGTGAGGTCAGGGGGTGTGGCATATGCAAATGAGTTATGCTAATGAGTTATGCGAATGAGCCCCTGCACCTCTTTTTCTACGAAATGACCCCTGGTCACAGCCACAAGAACAAGCGTCCCGCGCTCCCTACTTAAGAGAGAAGGCGTGCATTTCGGCTCTGTCGTTTCCATCTCTTCTTAAAAGGCAGAGGCCTTAAAGTCCTCCGAGCCCAGGGCCAGACAGGCCTCCCGGTGACAGATGCACAGAGGCAACGCAGGCCTTTGCTTGGGACATCCACGGAGGCAAGCTTAGCTTCCCGCTAAGCCAGCTTCCACAACCACGACAAGCACATTTTCTACAGCAGCCAATATTTAACAGCGACAGAAGGCACTGACCCAATGTGATGTAGTCTGACGGAACACAGACATTTACCCATTGGTCCAAGGCTGCCAACTTTGGGTTGGGAAATTCCCGGAGATTCGGGGGTGGAGTCTGGGGAGGGCGGGGTTTGGAGAGGGGAGGGGCCTCAGGAGGTTGTGATGCCATACAGAGTTCCCCCTCCAAAGCGCCCATTTTCTGCAGGGGAACTGATCTTTGTGGGTCCGGAGATCAGCAGGGTTGACAGTTCTGGGTTGGGGAGGACCTCAAGTTGGGGTATAGTGCCATAGAGACCAACTTCCAAAGCAGCCCTTTCCTCCAGGGGAACTGACTGATCTCTGTTGTCTGAAGGAGAGGAAGAGACTGGATTTATACCCCACCCTTCACTACCCGAAGGTGTCTCAGAGGGGCTCACAATTTCCTTTCCCTTCCCCTCCCCGCAAAAGACACCCTGTGAGGTAGGTGGGGCTGAGAGAGCTCTCTCGAGGACTGCTCTTGAGAGAACAGCTGTGAAAGAACTTGTGACTGAAGAAGAGACTGGATTTATACCCCGCCCTTCACTACCCAAAGGAGTCTCAGAGCGGCTTACAAACGCCTTTCAGTTCCCCTCCCCACAACAGACACCCTGTGAGGCAGGTGGGGCTGAGAGACTGCTCCTGAGAGAACTTGTAACTGACCCAAGGTCACACCAGCAGCTGCGTGTGGAGGAGAAGGAGAAGAAATTAAATTTCTACCCCGCCCTGCACTACCTGAAGGAGTCTCAGAGCGGCTTACAGTCTCCTTTGCCTTCCCCTCCCCACAACAGACACCCTGCGAGGTAGGTGGGGCTGAGAGAGCTCTCTCGAGAACTGCCCTTGAGAGAACAGCTCTGAGGGAACTTGTGACTGACCCAGGGTCACACCAGCAGCTGCATGTGGAGGAAGAGAAGAAGAGATTGGATTTATACCCCGTCCTTCACTACCCAAAGGTGTCTCAGAGCGGCTGACAATCTCCTTTCCCTTCCTCTCCCCACAACAGACACCCTGTGAGGTCGGTGGGCCTGAGAGAACTGCCCTTGAGAGAACAACTCCGAAAGAACTTGTAACTGACCCAAGGTCACACCAGCAGCTGCGTGTGGAGGAGGAGGAGAAGAAATTAAATTTATACCCTGCCCTGCACTACCTGAAGGAGTCTCAGAGAGGCTTACAGTCTCCTTTGCCTTCCCCTCCCCACAACAGACACCCTGCGAGGCAGGTGGGGCTGAGAGAGCTCTCTCGAGAACTGTCCTTGAGAGAACAGCTCTGAGGGAACTTGTGACTGACCCAGGGTCACACTAGCAGCTGCATGTGGAGGAAGAGGAGATTGGATTTAGGCCCCATGGCCCTTCACTACCCAAAGGAGTTTCAGAGCGGCTCACAATCTCCTTTCCCTTCCCCTCCCCACAACAGACACCCTGTGAGGTAAAAGAAGAAGAGATTGGATTTCTACCCCGCCCTTCACTACCCAAAGGTGTCTCAGAGCTGCTTACAAACGCCTTTCCCTTCCCCTCCCCACAACAGACACCCTCTGAGGTTGGTGGGGCCGAGAGAGCTCTGAGAGAAACTGCTCTTTCTCAAGAACAGCTCTGACAGAACTATGGCTTGCCCAAGGCCATCCAGCCAGGTGCACGTGGAGGAGTGGGGGACTCAAACCCGGCTCTCCCAGAGGAGCGTCCCCTGCTCCTAACCACGGCACCAAACGGGGACTGAGAAGGGGGGCGAGGCGCAATACTGACGTTGCAGCTGCCGCCGTTCTTGCAGGGGTTGCTCTCGCACTCGTTGGCCTCGATCTCGCAGCTGGTCCCCGCGAAGCCGGCCCGGCAGGCGCAGGTGTAGCTCCCTTGGCCCGTGTTGGTGCAGGTGGCGCCGTTCTTGCAGGGGCGGTGGTTGGTGCAGTAGTTGAGGTCCTGGTTGCAGAAGAGCCCGCCCCACCCCTCCTGACAGTTGCATTGCCAGGGCTGGGCGCAGGTGCCCCGCAGGCAGCCCGGGTAGCGGACGCACTCGTCGCAGAACTGCCCCTGCCAGCCGATCCGGCACTTGCACTCGCCGGGCTTCTCGCAGAACCCGTGGGCGCCGCTGCAGCCAGGAAGGCAGATAGCTGTGGAGAGGCAAGCAGAGGGGGAGTGGGGAGGGGAGGAGTGGGGAGGGGAGGAGAAGGGTGTGGGGAGTGGGGGGGGGGAGAGAAGGGAGAGGGGGGGACAGCTGGTGGAGTTGCAGTACAGATTTTGGGCGCCAGGCATCTGGGTCCCCGCCACTGCGTCGAACAAGAGGCCCACATGCCATCCAAGGTTCCCCCCTAGGCTATGGAGACTTGTGAGCAAAAATCCTACTTTGTGAGCTACTCGCATTGAAATTGTGAGTGGGCAATTTGGCTGCGGCATCAATCAGTTTGCTCTGAGCCAAGACAAAAATGCGTGAACCGGAGGCTAAAAAACTGTGAGCTGGCTCACACTGACTCAGCTTAGAGGGAACACTGATGCCACCCCCCCAAAAAAAAAAGAAGAAGAGGAGGAGGAGGAGAGACTGGATTTTTACCCCACCCTTCACTCAGTCTCAGAGGGGCTTACAATCTCCTTTCCCTTCCCCTCCCCACAACAGACACCCTGTGAGGTAGGTGGGGCTGAGAGAGCTCTGACAGAAACAGCTCTTTTTCAAGGACTGCTCTTATCAGAACTAAGGCTTGCCCAGGTCATTTAATATTTTTTTAATAGAACATCAACTAAGAATTTCTACATAACCACTTGTAACAGTTACTCTTGATTGTATTGTAGGTTTAAGTTACATACTTGTAATACTGTTTCTTAATGTATAGTGTTTCAATTATTCTTCACTATGTAAAAAAAGCACTTACTTCCAAAGTACCTATTCCGAAATGTTTATTACAGAAATTGTTGTATATGTTAATACTTTGAAGATATAATAAAAAAATTTAAAAAAAGAAAAAGAACTAAGGCTTGCCCAAGGTCATCCAGCAGGTGCAAGTGGAGGAGTGGGAAATCAAACCCGGTTCTCCCAGATTAGAGTCCGCACACTTAACCACTACACCAAACTGGCAATGCCCATTTTGAACTCCCCTCACTCAGGAGGGGCTGACGGGTTTGAAGGAGGGGCTGCTGAAATATACGGCTGAAGCTGGAAGCCATCCGCACACCACGCGGCAGGGAATCCCAGACTCGGTGCGTTTTCTCAGGTCCGTCTTTATGGCCCAGAAGCCTCACTGGGGGTGATTGTGCCTTGGGCTTTTCCCTCCGTTGTTTTACCAAACCCACCTCGGAACAGAGACGCCCCTCTGCACGGCCTGCCGCTCTTCTCTATTGTACGATGCACGTGACTCTACCATGATGAAATCTCTCATTTCACAGTATAATTATCGCGGGAACTAGATAAGAAGGTGTTAACCCATTTAGTGTTATGTACCTGCAGAGGTCATTTCCTGCAGGAGCGCACAGGAGCGGAGCTCCGGCAATAAAGAGCCCAGTTGGCGGGCACATGCAACAAGCCCCACCCCCTGCTCCCAACAGCCCCAGGCCACGAGGAACAAGAAGCCTCTTTCTTACTTTTTCTTTCTTTCCCTCCTTCTTTCCCCCCTTTTCCCCCTCCCTCCCTCCTTCCTTCCTGCACAGATCTGTGCATTCCCCCCCCCCAGCTAACAATCCAAAACAGTCCAGTGGCACCTTTAAGGCCAAGGTTTATTCAGGTACAAGCTCTCCCTCCTCTGTGAGGGCAGATCTGCACGCATACGTCTCCCCCCCCAATAGCTAGCAATCCAAAACAGTCCAGTGGAGCCTGAGCGGTGGAAGTTGCCTTCCGACACACTTCCGGTGATGCCAGGGGGTGTGGCATATGCAAATAAGATATCCTAATGAGTTATGCTAATGAGCTCCTGCACCTCTTCTTCTACGAAATGACCCCTGTGTACGTGTATATAATTTGATTAATGCCTCCAGGAGGCTTGAGCTAAAAAGGAAAGGGGGGGGGGAAGCAAAATTAAGAACACAAGCACTGTTTAGCACCCCGTCTCACACAGTGGCCAACCAGTCCTCTGGAGGGCCACGAACAGGGCACAGAGGCCACAGCCTTCCCCTGAGGTTGCCTACTGGCTCTGGGATTCGGGGGATTTGTGCCTTTGAATGTGGAGGCTCCCCTCAGTCTGCATGGCAGGTGGCGATCTTTCCCATCCCCTCCTGCCTGGTCCTTTTTAACTGGAGATGCCGGGGATTGAACCTGGGACCTCCTGCATGCCAGGCAGAGGCTCTTCCACTGAGCCACAGCCCCTCTTTACAGCTCTCCAGGGTCTCAGGTGGCGATCTTCCCCATCCCCTCCTGCCTGGTCCTTTTTAACTGGAGATGCCGGGGACTGAACCTGGGACCTCCTGCATGCCAGGCAGAGGCTCTTCCACTGAGCCACAGCCCCTCTTTACAGCTCTCCAGGGTCTCAGGCGGAGGTCTTTCCCATCACCTCCTGTCTGGTCCTTTTAACTGGAGATGCCGGGGATTGAACCTGGGACCTCCTGC